CGCGACGGGCTCGTGTGTTTAGAGCCTTCAACCGGATTGGGCTAGAGGTTCGCATGGAAGGAACTCTTGTCCGTCTCTTCTTTTCTGTCTGTAACCGCAACCCAAGCAAGTTTTCCTGCCTGCACCGCGACCATCTTCGGTGTAAGTAAAATAATCTTTAATCAACCGCTATGCGTTCGTGCCTAATTCTAGCTCGCCGGCCTGCATTCCCCGACCCGGTGTGTCCGGGCTGCTGGCCACAGCCCGCCGCGCAACAGGCCCCCGAGGGCCTCGGACCGCTCCCGGCCCGCACACGTCTACGTCCGAATTGCCGATTCTCCAAATCGGCATCGAATCTTCAGCTTCGGATTAATCGAATCAGGGAAAGCGATACGCATCAACGAATCGAATTGCCGACCCCCGATTCGGACTGAATCCGAATCGACTAGGCCCCGCTTCGCACTCCCCTGCTGTTTTGCAATTGATTTTTTTTAGATGGTTTCTCTCCTTGGACGAGTCCTCCTGGCTGGCGGGGGCTGGGCTACATCACTGAACTCAGCTCCAGACCGCGCCCGTCTGTCTATACACCTATTTCACAGATGCAACCGCTGACCCCCCAGTCCCACAACAAGTGCCATCATCTGACCCCGGCTGCTTTTTCCTGCCCGGGACAGGGGTGGGGGTCAAGGTCACTTGCAACCCTAAATAGCATCAGTGACTCTATACACCCCCACACCTGTCCCAGGGTGGGGGTCCTGGGTAGACTGGGGCTGGAGAAGGAAGGGGGTAGGACATGCAATGTCCACTGGGAGCTGTTCCAGGGGCACATCCAGCTGTTGGAAGCAGGGGTCCACTGTGAGAGACAGGCCTTCCACCCTCCTCCATTTCCTCCTTAGTGGCTCAGTTTAACCCGCGCTAAACTGACCCGCTCCAGCTCCCAGGCGGGTCCAAGAGGGAGGACTATGGCAGGGAGCCGCAGTTGTCACCCCACACCTGTGCGGGATGCAGGGAGCGGAGCACAACTGCAACACTCCGCACCCCACGCCCGCCCTGAGGCGACTCTGCGGGGCGGCCCTAGTCCCTCCGCCCCTCGCCCCGCCCCCGCCCCTCTGGCGGAAGGATCCGGTGCTGCGGTTGCTCTTCCCGCCGCTCTGCCTATAAAGGCGTCCTGGCCGAGCGGCGCTGCGCCTGGTATCCGTGCGCCGCCACAGCTCGCTGAGGAGACGGCGGCCATTTTGTTCGGCGCCGGCGCTGCGCGGGGCGAGCAGGGGACGCTCGGGGGCCATGGCGGATATCGACAAGCTCAACATCGACAGCATCATCCAACGGCTGCTGGAGGGTGAGGAGGAGGAAGGGGGTGGTTCCCGCGCGCGTTCCTGCCCCCTCCCCCATCCTCAGGGGACCCAAATATTGGGGTGAGGCGCGTCTCTGGGCCCCTGCCGCAGCTCGGGGCTCGTGTGGCACGGCACGCCACGGCACTGCGCGTGCGGGGAAGGAGCCGCGTGTCCCGCCGCCCGGCCCGCTGGGGTTTAACTTCCCCCTTCCCCCCCCCCCCCTTGTGCTGCCAGAAGTCCCCGAGGGTTTGGAGCCAGGTGGGAGAAACCTGCCCCCCGGGCTGCCCTCTCTTGCTGCTTTGCAGCATTTCTCTGGAAATAAACGACCTGCGTGATGCAAAGGGGGGTGGGGGTGCTGTAGGGACAAAGAATAAGAAATAAATCTGTCTTGGGGGTCTTCCCCCCTCCTCCGTGCCGATGCCCGGGGGCTGCAGTAGGTCTCTGACTCTTGCTGCCCTTTCCCGGGTCCGTTTGGGCTCAGTCAAGTCATTGAGAAGTTGTTTTCCGCGCGAGTCTTGATTATCGTTCGTGTTTGGCCGCGTTTTCCTCCCCTGAAACGTCCGTGGTAGTTGGCGTCTTGGAAAAGCCAGTCCTATTGAACTAGTAACGCATCTCATCGCTGGCTGGGCTGTCCACGTGAAGGTTGCTCTCTCCGCGAGCTTGCTAACAAGATGCTTCGATAGAGCCACTGAACTTGAACCTTGTATTCCTGCCGTTCGAGCGGTCGTAACTAGAGTTGTTTCGGGTAACCCTCGGCACTAATCCTGACTCTTTGCTAAGGCTCGAAATGGAGTATTTTCATGGACGGTGAGGCTGGAAGGGACCTCGTAAGATTGCCGGGTCCAGCCCTCTGTCCTGGGGCAGAAAGTCGGTCGGGGTCACAGGATCCCAGCAAGATCAGTGTCCAAACGTTTCTTGACCCCAGGGCCGGGAAGTCGGCTGGGGTCAAAGGATCCCAGCAAGGTAAATGTCCAAATATTTCTTGACCCCCAGCTGACTTCCTGCCTCATGGGTCAAAGGATCCCACCAAGATCAGTGTCCAAATGTTCCTTGGATGTTTTGAATAGCCTTGTTGTTA